GCATTCCTGCATACATACATACTTGCATACATTATAAGGAAGAAGAAGAAGAAGAAAACAAGAAGAAGAAGAAGGATGATGTGGAGAAGAGGCAGATATAATTTAACTGTTTATTAAATAATCTGCTGTAGCTCAGGTGTTGTTTCTGTTACAGCTGCGGTTGTTGGGACAACAAAAAATTAGATGACATGACCAAGTCGCCAAGGATCGACCATCCTTCCATTGCTGTGAACATGTCCGCTGGAGACAGCTCCAGGTTCGGGAACCAACATTTTCTCCTCATCAACAAGACGCTGATCAACGTCCAGATACGTGAGCCCTACAGAGACAACCAGCGCAACGAACTGCTTTACGTCATCGTGGTCATCGTCTTCTACGCCACGGCCCTAATGACCCTCATTATCTCACAGATCAAACGGCAGCGACGCGATGGCTCCGAGATCGACTATTACGACGAGTATCTACAGAGGAACTCAGAGGTGAAGCACACCTGCCAGATCGCTTCCAGTATCGTGGCTCGCCAGAAGAAAAAACCGCCACCAGCTGTGGCTACAGCTGCGTTTGCTGCCGCGGCCACGGGAACAGTTTTAGGGCAGATTCCATTGAGGCACGATGACACTAATGAAAGATCCTCCAACGACGAGGGGATGCCCAACGGGGAGACTGACACTGCTGAAGTGATGCCGAATCACGGGGCGTCTGGGTCAACGGGTGCTCTTGGGTCAAGGATTCTGTGTACTAGAGAGAAATCTCCTATCTTGGAGAGCATCCCCGACACTGAGAACTGAACCTAATCTCTGTGACACTTCACTGGCCAAGCCTCGACAGTGGCCACTCACACAAACAAACTGACTCTCGTACAGTTACACTGATACTGTCACAATGACTTTAGCTTCCGGTCTAATATGGCGGATAGGTTGGCTTGCTGTTTTTAGTCGTGGCCAGTTATTTGCTTCTGGCTACCGTTAGCCACTGCTAATTCCCCCACATGTGGACTTAAAGTATACAGTTCCGACGCCAAGCTACTGTGTTGAGTGTATGGAGCAACACTATGAGCTGCGGATTTAATTTGGATTGCTTTTTTGACTGCAATCAACGTTTTTTATTTTGTAAACTGCAGATTCAGAAAATGTCGAGTGGTCTGTTCTCACGACTGAGGGTGCCTTACACGACAAATTTCCTGTGCAACTACAGATTTTATGTAACTGCATCAGCATCAACGTTGAACTGCAGTTTTAGTACCAAATATTTAGTTTATGTGCCAGTTTTTAAAACACGTGAAAGTGATGGACGTTTAGTGTGGTTTTCGCTGGCATAGAAACGGAACAATTTTAGGTGACTTGTTTGATGTGAAGTTGGGATTGTGATTAACTGATTACACTGGCTCCTGACATAATCACACCGACCACTATCACAATCACACTGAACACTCTCACAATCACATTGACCACTCACACAATCACACTGACCACTCACACAATCACACTGACCACTCACACAATCACACTGACCACTAAAATACTATAGGAAGTCGTGTGCTATTGACGTGGGGAAACTGCTAAGACATCTACCACGCTGCCCACATTGACTAGAATATTCAGGACATGACAGTGCTGTCTCCTGGCTGTCTCCTGGCTGTCTCCTGGCTGTCACTTTCGCCAAAAACACTGTCCTGACATTCTCAAGATTCCGTGTAACCAGCGGTTTTTAGTTGTGGGATCTTATCGGGTTTCCGGTCACGGGAGACTGAGGCAGCGGGAAGCCAGCAGAGGGTCTGGATGACATTGGGTCACAGTGAAACAAAACAGTCACTTGCAATCAGATAGTTGCAGGCATAATCTATACTGAACCACTCACTTCGTTGGCTGCTGACGAGGGGGAGAGAGCCTGTGTGGGCATAAAATGGGTGCAGAGATGTTCATTGTCATTCGTTCATTCTTTTCATTTTTATCAAGATCAGGTTTCTTCATTCTACACGAGATGCTGTCTATTGCTGCTACCTACAATGTTTGTATTTGGTGTCTGGTGACTGTTGCTGCCCTCACTCCACTTTGCCTTTGTGATTCGACACTCAAGGGCTTCCTGGTATCGAGGCATGGTGTCTGCCTTGAGTGCTAGTGGCCCCGGGTTCAAGCCCTGTGAGGGCAGGGATTTTTTTCACGTTGACTTCTAGTAATTTCCCCTGGTCTCTGGGTAGTAAGACTGGACGCTCGTGTGTATTGTTGCGCACGTTGAAAGTCGAAAATAGTTGCCTAATGGCGCTGCACGGGCAAAATTTGGACTTAAAAATACGCCCAAAGTATTTTAGGTTCCTTGGCGGTGCAACAGAGTTGGTGCACTGCGTTGAGATTGTTCAAACTCGGGCTTAAGTTAGAAGAAAAACGGAGCCCTTATGGGTTCCATCTGTGTGCTATAATGTTGATTCATTGAATAAACAAAAACATACACTCGACGCTTGTATTGTGTTGTAGCTTTATCTACATTATGTTTTACTACGTTCTTCTTTTGTTTTATATTTTTTCCCCTTAAAAGGAACGTACAGAAAAACCTGGCACTAACTTTTCAAAATGTGTTTCCCTAAAATCCACATCAGATTGAATTATTCACAGATTCACATATCTGGGAAGGGTGTAGGTAAGATAACTGTGTTTCCATGTCTGGAAATGATGTAGGCAAGATAACTTTGTTTACATATCTGGGAATTATGTAGGCAAAATAACTTTGTTTACATATCTGGGAATGATGTAGGCAAGATAACTTTGTTTACATATCTATTAATGATGTAGGCAAGATAACTTTGTTTACATATCTGGGAATGATGTAGGCAAGATAACTTTGTTTACATATCTGGGAATGATGTAGGCAAGATAACTTTGTTTACATATCTGGGAATGATGTAGGCAAGATAACTTTGTTTACATATCTGGAAATGATGTAGGCAAAATAACTTTGTTTACATATCTGGGAATGATGTAGGCAAGATAACTTTGTTTACATATCTGGAAATGATGTAGGCAAGATAACTTTGTTTACGTGACTATTTTCATGAAATGATCAACAACAACAAACAGCTGACATTTGTTTGGCAGGGCAGACAGAATAACCAAGAGTTTACTGCTCAGTTAGAAGAAATGTTCCACTTCTGGGCCAGGCGTATGAACAATTGTTCTCCTTGATGAGCGCAGATATAACCGACAGTGAAATAATCCCATTGTTTAGTGCTGGAAGTAGGTCTGTGCCAGGCTCTAAAAGCTGACACCGAAGAACTGTCCACAAGAAAACTGTCATCAATAAAGAATAATCTAATCACTGGAAATTAAAATATTGAAACAAATTTACTGTGCACAATGTGTAAAATTTGTATATAGTTACTGTGTGTGTTTGCATGGTTAATATGTAACATTGCGTCGGGTGTTTTGTGTTTGACATGGCTCCCCCAGGAGCAGGTAGTGTAAATATAGCCATACATAGCCCTCAGTGGTGAAGGAGAACTGGAACCTGTTCCTGGCAGGTAACAGTTCCACACTTATTTATACACTGACGTCTGCGCAGACCATCTAGTATCGGATGGATTTCTGTAGACTCGGGTCATTGATTAGATTGGCGAACAGCTGACAGAGAAGAGAAGGAGGAGGACAAGAAAGAAAGAAAGAAAGAAAGAAAGAAAGAAAGAAAGAAAGAAAGAAAGAAAGAAAAAGAAAGAAAGAAAGAAAGAAAAAGAAAGAAAGAAAGAAAGAAAGAAAGAAAGAAAGAAAGAAAGAAAGAAAGAAAGAAAGAAAGAAAGAAAGAAAGAAAGAAAGAAAGAAAGAAAGAAAGAAAGAAAGAAAGAAAGAAAAGAAAAAAAGAAAGAAGAAAGAGAGAGAAGAAAGAAAGAAAGAAAGAAAGAAAGAAAGAAAGAAAGAAAGAAAGAAAGAAAGAAAGAAAGAAAGAAAGAAAGAAAGAAAGAAAGAAAGAAAGAAAGAAAGAAAGAAAGAAAGAAAGAAAGAAAGAAAGAAAGAAAGAAAGAAAGAAAGAAAGAAAGGAAAGAAAGAAAGAAAGAAAGAAAGAAGAAAGAAAGAAAGGAAAGAAAGAAAGAAAGAAAGAAAGAAAGAAAGAAAGAAAGAAAGAAAGAAAGAAAGAAAGAAAGGAAAGAAAGAAAGAAAGAAAGAAAGAAAGAAAGAAAGAAAGAAAGAAAGAAAGAAAGAAAGAAAGAAAGAAAGAAAGAAAGAAAGAAAGAAAGAAAGAAAGAAAGAAAGAAAGAAAGAAAGAAAGAAAGAAAGAAAGAAAGAAAGAAAGAAAGAAAGAAAGAAAAGAAAGAAGAAAGAAAGTAGAAAGAAAGAAAGGAAAGAAAGAAAGAAAGAAAGAAAGAAAGAAAGAAAGAAAGAAAGAAAGAAAGAAAGAAAGAAAGAAAGAAAGAAAGAAAGAAAGAAAGAAAGAAAGAAAGCTAGAAAGAAAGCTAGAAAAGAAAGAAAAAAAAACTAGAAAAAAAGACAAAAAAAGAAAGAAAGAAAGAAAGAAAGAATGAAAAGAAAAAGAGAAAGAGAAAGAAAGAAAGGGAAGAAAGAAAGAAAGAAAGAAAGAAAGAAAGAAAGAACTTTATTTTCAAAGCGTCGCAAATTGGGCACGCAGGCCCGTCTTACATTCCGCCCTTCCAAACACCCGTCTTTCACACTGCATCTGTATTTTATCAATAAGCATGTTATATTCATATGTTAATATGCATATTATGAATATCAAAAAAAAGTGGTGGGAAAAAAAAGCACAGAAGCATGGATGGTAAAATGCACGAACACACACACACACACACACACACACACACACACACACACACACACACACTTAAACACATCCACACAACTTCACACATATTAACACACCCCATTGACCCACATACATACCTACATACCCTACAGACACGCACATTCCACACACATACAAACAGACATACGCGCACATACCCAATCACACACGCAGATACACAGACACACACACACACACACACATAAACCGGCATACAGACACACACAGACATATATGCACAAACACACGCAGACACAAACACACGGATACACTCGGAGACACACACATATAATCGCAGACGCATACACACACGCGCGCTGCCGCTCACGCAGACACATACACTCAACCACAGACACACACACGCAGAAGCATACGCAGGCATTTATACATACAGGCACAAGCAGAGATACACGCAGACACACACCCACAGACACACAAACGCAAACACATACGCAGACATACATATACACAGGCACACACACACACACACAGACACACACATATAGACACATCAGAGACACTACACACAGAGAAACACACAGACAAACACACACAGACATATACACACAGACACACACAGAGGCATATACATATATATAAATACAAACAGAGACGAGCATATACACATGCATTCACGCAGACACACACAGGCACATACAAAGACACAAACACACACATACAAACACACACATACAAACACACACATACAAACACACACATACAAACACACACATACAAACACACACATACAAACACACACATACAAACACACATATACAAACACACACGCAAGCAAACCCACAGCTACATTCACGTAGAACACACATACAAGCAAACACACGCACAGACACATGTGGACACAGATACACACACAGACACATACACACAGTCCTACACGCGCAAACACACACATACACACAAACGAACCCACAGAGACATAGATACACACCCACAGACACATAATACAGATATCCTTACACACAGAGAAGCACGTATACACAGGCATTCA